ACCATTAGACAGTGATGCAAAGGAGTAAAGGGTTAAGAATACATACTTGTCCAGAGCATGTTTGTATAGAACTACAGATTAGTGCTAGGACTAGAAATGAGCCATCCTTGCAGCGGGGTGGGGCCCCTCCCTCAGGGCGAGTTCCCAGTCATACCTCACTCCCACTGAGCAGCGCAGGGCAGACCCTGGGGTGGCAGAAAGGAAGGGAAGCTTTGGTTTCCACCACTACCTTGGATTCTTTAGAAAAATGCTTCTGTTGCCATCTTACCTTAGATCTATTCCTTCCTATCGGTCTATGAGCTAATCCTTTTGACACTATTATCCAGTCCCCAGGTAGTGCAGACAGTGTTAACCAGGTTGGATTCAAGCCACACTATCCACCTAGTAGGACCCACTAGCAGTGCCCTTTATCCATTAGCACAGGCAATGTTCCATCTTAAGAAATCTGTCCTGGGTCTGTCTCTGCCTGAGGCAATGCAATCTGTAGAATGTATTTGCATGCTTCTAAAACCAAAAAAAAAAAAAAAAAAGCAGCCAAAGATGGCGCAAACCCCCAAGCGATCTTTCCATGGTTACAAACCCATGGGAGTCCGGTCACTTAAGCTCTCTGCATAGCTAACATTCAAGAATGTGAAAGGCAAAGTTAGTCTTTCTTTTGCAGATTCACTGGTCTCCTGAAGAACTGTGTCTAGCTCTGCACTGTCCATGTATTTTAGCAAATACGTTAAATGCAGAAAACAATCCTTGCTTTTAGCTAGACTGCTTTTGGTGTGTCTCAGTTTTTCCTAACCAGTGATCTAATTTTAGTTCGATGAACATTATCCAGGTCTGCTTCTTCCACACTACTCCCCACCCTCTACCCCGACAGAGACTGGTTGCCAAAAAGGCTTTCAAAGTAGAGGGTTCTGGAGTCTGAGGATTACTGGTTTCCAAAGTAAGGATACAGCCTAGCTTGGTGGTCAAGAGTATGAACTTGGAGGAAGACTACCTGGGTTCAAATCGAGGAGCCCAGTTTACTAGTTGTGGGGCTAAAAGCATGTTGGAGCAATACTATTTTCAGAGCACTATTTTAGGTACGGAGGATAAAACAATGAGTAAGAGACCATCCCTTCCTCAGTGACCATAAACCCTGGTGTGGCAGACAGCAGACAGTGGCTCACAAGTCAGTATGAGAAAGCGAATGAATCGAATATTTCCCACTAACAACCCAGTTCATTGCCATGAGCAGGTACACTTCAAGAAGGCCAATTCAAGAAATATTTATGAGGACATTTTATAAAATAGTCTATGCCAGGGAAAACTAGGGGTGACTGGTAATGTCACCCTTATCTTCACTGATGAGTTTCAAATTTGATTAATAGCAAAATTAAAATTATTAAACATTTAAAACATGTATTAAGTATTTACTATGTGCCAAAAGTACTAAGAAGTACTTTTAGATGTTTTAACCCATTTAATGCTCACAAGAAACTGAGGTGAATACCACTACTTTTCCACACTTTATGGAAAAAATAATAGTAATAAAGACAGAGATGAAGAAAGCCTTCCCTATGTGACAGAGCTAATAAGTACTAGAACAAGAACTGAAACTCTAACAGTGTAGGTTCTGTAAGTTTTTAACCAATACACTGTCGTTTGACCAGAAGGCCTTCTTCAGACAGGCTTGCCCAGTAACAAAATAGCCGATGACACCCCCGCTACCCACTGCCCTCACCCCGCCAGACCTGATTTGCTTTATACCCAAAGCAGCAGTTGTCTTCAGGAAGGCTCAAAAGGCCAGTCAGTCATCACTAAATGAGGCAGAAGCTGCAGCAGTTCTACCCAATGAAGATCCTTGGGCTTGTTGTTATGAAGGAAAAAGAGGGAATGGTGGTGGTGGGGGGGGGGGTCACGAAAGAGAAGGGAGGGGCGAACGAGGAGAAGAAGCATTCCTGTAAGTCTCTGAGATACTCCAGGTGAGCTCTAAATAGAAGCCAGAAAAAAAAAATTAACTGGAAAAAACAAAACTTTGTAGTAATAAAGCCCGTAGGTAAGAGAGTGTCAGAGCCAGACACAAAATCAAGTTGACCTCATCAAAAGAAGCCAATTTGACGACATTTTATTTCTCCTCAGGAGCCCCCAGCCTCCCATTAACCTGGTTAATTGTTAGAACAGCAGGAGTGGAAGATGGGAGGATGATGGGTCACTTCTGGTCACTTTGGATTTAAAGTGCCCGTGAGACATTCCAACAGACGTGTTCACCAGTCGGCCGGATATGCAAGTCTGGAGCTCAAGGAAGAGGTCTGGCCTGACCCCGAGCGTCCAGCTCCAGCCAAGAGCTACACCACCTCCCTCTGCTTTTGGCATATTCTTCCAGGAGAAACAGTAAGCCTTTCTTCACTTTGGATTGCCCGTTTCAAAGGTTTTAAAGTAAACAACTCAAAGATCTTGGCTGATTTTGACTAGAATGTACCTGAATGTCGGCACATCACCCCCAAAGGCTGTGAGAATTACGGCTGGCAGAGCAGGTGACCAGCCACGTATCCTGAACTCCTCTGTCCCAGCCCTGCCCTTCACCCGGTTAGCAATACAAACATGACTTGGCCTGCCTGTCTCCAGAACATGTCAGAAAGAAAAAGCATCAAAATTTGCCCAACTTTGTTCATTCCTGCTAAGTTGTCTATCTCGTGGATGACCAAACGGTGGCCAGGCTACATCAGTATCTGCAAAGGCCATTTGTTACAGTTTATTTTTCAGATCACCATTCAGTACTTATATTTCAACAGCATTTAATATTCAACTCTTTTGTAATTGAGGATTAAAAAATCTGCCCTGGCCAGTTTGGCTCAGCGGTTAGAGCGTCGGCCTGCGGTCCAGAGAGACCCGGGTTCGGTTCCCGCTAAGGGCACGTACCTCGGTTGCAGTTTGTCCCCAGCCCTGGCTGGTCGTGTGGGTGGCAGCCACCCAATGTGTCCCTTTCACATCGATGCTTCTCTCTCTCTCTCTTCCTCTTTCTCCCTTCCACTCTATCTTAACAAAAAAGTGGAAAAATGTCCTCGGGTGAGGATAAAAAATAAAAAAATAATCATAATCATAATATACCAAAGAGAGAGCCTAAAGAAGGTCTGTTTCTTAAATTTACAATACGAACAAGAGAGGAAAAATAAAATTGGAAACAGGACACCCTCTTAACTTTGGTTGTACCAGGGATTTAGAATGGTTATGACAATGTAGTCATAGAAATCTAAGTGAACTCTAAGAAACCGAAAAACAACAGAGGTTAATTGCTAATCAAGGAGTACACCTGGTTGTACTTGGACTCAAGGCAGAGAGCTGATTCTGCCTGGCACTGGGACCACAGAAACTTGTTTGCCCCCCAATATCTAATCAGTTACCAAGTCCTGTGCTTTATAATGTCCCTTTCTTTGTACTCTATGGTCACCACCCTCGGCTCGCTGTAACAGAGGGCTGGTGAAAGTCTAGGGAAAAAAGGAATCACAAGTCATAAATTTGAGTAGGGAAAAAAAGTATTTTAAAAGAATGGATTTGGCTCTGGTAGGTTTGGCTCAGCAGTAGAGCATCGGCCCAAGGACCAATGAGTCGCAGTTCAATTCTGGCCAAGGGCATGTACCTCAGTTGCGGTTTGTCCCCAGATCTGGTCAGGGTAGTGTGGGAGGCAACCAATCAATATGTCCCTCTCACGTCGATGTTTCTCTCTCTCTCTCTCTCTCTCTCTCCCTTTCTTTTCCCCTCCCTCCCACTCTATCTGAAGATAAATAGAAAAAAAAAATCCTCACGTGAGGATAAAAAAAAAGGTGGATTTGAACTGGATATGAAAATAACGCAGCCTCAAATTATATCCTTGCCTCAAATTACACTTATAAACTAAGTTTTATTAATTAAAATATTAAATGGACCAATGGAATACCATGCAATGGTAGAGACTGAAGTAACACTAAAATAACAGTTAAAAATAACAGTTAAGTACATAAGTTAGTCTCCCCAGTTAATTGAGCAGAAGCCATCTAAATTAAGACATAAGCAGGATAACTGAAGAATCATCAGTAAAAAAAAAAAAGAATAGCCTGTACAAAAGAGGTTACCTTGAAGGAAAATGCTGAGGGAAACAGAGAGAAAGTTCATGAGTGAGTGCATGAGTGTATTTATACAGTATACAGTATATGAGTGCATGTATGTGTGCAAAGTATGAGGAAACAAGAGATTCAAGGTCCTACACCATGAGATCCTAACGAACCTCTCCAACCCTGTCCTCCCACTACCCGTCCTGGGATCCTTCGCTCCTCTCACAAGGGAAGACTTGCTCTCCTCTCGCCTCCCACCTCTTCACCTTGGTTCACCCCATAATCCTGACCAGGTGTCCTCTACTGAGACTCTGCATCCTAGTGTCCCATGACCTCTCACAGGCCCTTCCTGCGAGCCCAGCCCAGGGTGTCTTCCCTTCCTCTATGCTCTTACAGTCACTGCCACTCACTCATCCAAAAAATCCCAACAACACAGAATAAATGAAGTTCCCTCATAAGCATTCCAGTTGACCATCTACTTCCCCTCACTACTCGGTGCCTTCCTGAGTCTTTGAGAGGGTGCGATCCCCTCAGCTACATGAGAAGTTCTTCAGGGCAGGGACTGGGCCTTCACACTTGAACTCCTTCATAGCACAGGCTCTGCCCGCTGTGTGATCTGACGAACCTCTCCTGGTGTGAATAAGCAGTACCATACAATGTTCAAAGGGAAAATGCTACACTGATTATGGGAGTATTCTGATTGTAACATACAAGACTAGAAAGGATGCAGTAGCCAGAGTTCTCTTTTTACTCAGTCCCTCCTATAAAGGCAGTAAGACCGTAGATTTGAGGTAAGGTGAAATGTGAAAGGAAATGGAAGGGAAGCTTAAGTAAACATGGCTGGACATAAATACTGGAGAATAAGCTTCTCATGAGGCAGCTGTAAAAGACAAAGGAAAACTGGCAGTTGTTCAACAGCAATCAGATATAAAAACCTACCAGTGAGTGAGTGCATGAGTGCATCAGTGTTTCCTTGAGCATCTTCTATCTTACTTGGTGAGGGCGACAGAAAAGACGGCCTGTTGGAGTGAGGGCCCCGAAGAGATGGTTGCTGTGGCTGCTGCTTCGAAGGCGTGGTCTTGAGGATCACCCTCCAGTCCACCTGGGTAACATCCGACCTTGATCGAGCATGCCCTGGCTTAAAAGTAGAGGTCTCATCCAGTAGGTCGTTCACAGAACGAGGTCTGTCCCTCCGACGCTGACAGATGTTGAACAAATTCAAGGTCGATGCTTCCTTTTGTTCCATCCAGGAAAGATTATCTGGGGTTGTCCCTTTCTGGACCATAAACTGTTCTTTGGCAGGGAAGACATTTTGAGCTTTGGTTTCTAAGAGCCTGGTCTTACAGTGGTCCCAAATCATGCCCCCCTCGCCCAGGGAGGCAACATTTCTGATAGTACCATTGTCTGTTATGTTACTGAGGACCTCGTGCCCCACTAGTTCAGGGACCTCCTGAATCCCATACACCTCTGCTTGCTGCACAGCCTTTTCCAGTTTACTATCAAAAGTACTAAAGAAATCCTCAGTAACTTCCAAGGCCGGGCTTATATCGTCCACTTCCAAAGCTTCCATGTTGCCAGCTCTGAGGCCTATGCCTCCTAAGCTGGTTTGGGAAAGAGCTTCAAGAGCGTTCACCCGCCGAAGAAAGATGCTCTGCGCAACAGAGTTCTGGGGACAACGGAAAGGAACCGCATCCGCTGCCTGGAGCAGGCCAACCACTCAGACAGTTGATGTTTTCCTTGTCACTAAAAGCATGTGCTAGCTCATAATGGCCATTAACAAGGGCGTCCAGGAGACCAACGTTCTTCTGAGATTCTACTTCAGTGAGATCTCTGTGAAGGCAACAGGAAGTGCTTGTCAAAGCAACGCCATGGCAATCCTTAACTTCCTGGAAGAAAGTAAAAAGGACAACATTGACACACAGTTCATTGTATTCTGTAGTACACAAATCTGCCCAATCACCTCCCCACCTTTCCGTCTCTTCTCTGGCAGTCATGCCAAAGGTGGACGAGACCTACGCAGAAGTTCCACTGTCAAGAGCACACACCACTACCGCTTTGTATTAGAACTTACACAGAGCAGAGTGGAGCTCTTGATGAGGGGAATTAAGGTCAATGGCTTTTACTCACACAGAGAAGCCTTTGAGAGCAATTGTGAAAAGACTGCCCTGGCAAATCTCTCTGATATGCTGACCTAAAATAGTAAGCAAAAGAGACTAGGAATTCTGTGACTGGGCCTCTATGATAATCAGTCTGAATGTCAGAAATGCATGAGTCCTTTTACAACCTTGAAAGCACTGATAATTCGTTGGGCTTCAAGGTACATGGGGGAGTAGAGAGGGAGACGCTCCCTTTCACTCTAGCTGTGCATGCGCTCCCTGGTTTAGACTGTGTGATGCCTAGTGATGACTCTGGACTTCGGAATCCTCATCATCCTGGAGAGAGGCTTTGAGGGCTGGCCTAGAGGAGAAGTCCAGCCTCTGGGCTGAGCAGAAAGAATCGTAGGACTAACCTACCCTCTCTGAGAAACGGGAGAGCTCCAAGATCAGGCCAGCTCAGGGCTGACCTTGACAGTGAGGCTGTCCAGTACAGCAGACACTACTAGCCATACATGGTATTTAAATTCAAATTTATTAAAATCAAATGAAGTTCCTCAGTCACATTAGCCACATTTCATGTGCTCAATAGCCATATATACCTTTGTATTTTTGCCAAAAACAACTAGGCAAGGGCTTTTTTCCTCCTCAACTACTTATAAATAGGTAAAACTAGGCAATTAGCAACACCTTTGCAAGGTGCTCAAAGTAGACAAACGTGCTTTCTTTAAAAAAAAAAAAAAAACTGCACAATTTTTGTGGTTAATGAAAATCATTTTGGCACTCGGTCATTAAACTATTACATTTCAGTCAACAGCACCAATCCACATTGCTTAATGTATGCAAAGAAAACTAGTATTACAGCCCTTTATTTTAGGTTTAAGAAGGTTTGGAGTTCACCGGAACTCTGTGGTTAACCTCTTATAAAGCAATAATGACTGTGAATTTGTCTACTTTTATATTTTGATATTATCATGTCAGCACCCATGAAGCATGGCACAGATTGAATTTTTGGAGATGAAATCACTTACAATATTTCTCTAGCTGCAAACACAGTTTTGCTTTCTGTGTCTCTAAGAGGACTTGAGCCTCCAGAATTGTGCAACAGGGTTTCACTACTTCTGTCATTTTGAGACTTAGATGTTGTTTGTTTTTCAGTTTTATCTTGTATGTGATACTAAAAAGAAGAAATACATAATAAATCTTAAAGCTTTTAGTTCTGTCATGACTATAATTTCAAATGAACATAATAAACAAAATACAAGTTTCCTATTTTATAGAAGAGGCATCAAGGTGCAGGGGACACTAACTTATTCATCTAAGATTATATTATGGATAGTCCTTTTCTTACCCAGTGTTTAAAATTCAGTATCAAATTAAAAGTGATTTTTTTTCCTTCCTTCCTTCCTTCCTTCCTTCCTTCCTTCCTTCCTTCCTTCCTCCCTTCCTTCCTTCTTTTCTTACTTCTTCCCTCCCTCCCTTTTTTCCTTTTTTATTTTATTTTATTTATTTATTTTTATCCTCACCCGAGGATATTTTTTCCATTTTTTTTTTTTTTGTACAGATAGAGTGGGAGGGAGAGAGAGGAAGGGAGAGAGAGAGAGAAACATCGACGTGAAGGGACACATCGAGTGGCTGCCACCCGCACGACCAACCAGGGCCGGGGACAAACTGCAACCGAAGTACGTGCCCTTAGCGGGAACCGAACCCGGGTCTCTCCGGACCACAGGCCGACGCTCTAACCGCTGAGCCAAACCGGCCAGGGCTTTTTTCCTTTTTTAAAAATCAAAATATCTAGGAGTATACTCTCTGTGCTCTCTGCTTGGACAGTCACAGACTGGTAAGAAGCAGAGAAGCATGGATGGCCAGCACTCCTGGGTTGTGGAACGCTTCTATTCCACACGTTCTAAAACCACAGACCCTAGAGATCATCCTTTCAACCCCAACCTTTCACAGAAGAAGATACGGAGGTCCAAAGAGTAAGAGGTCCCATGGACACTTTCGTATGCATTGCCTCATTTAATCCTTATTAAAGGGTAGTAACAATTCAACTTTAAAACCATTTCAATGCTGTTTAACAAGGCGTTCTGGAAATCACTCATCTATCCATCCTTTCATCCTTTTACAGGGTCACACCGTGATCAAGACCCTAAAGATGCAAAGATGAATAAGACACGGCTCTTGCCCCAAAGAGGCTCGCAGTTTATTATAACGCACCTACGAAAGTAAGTCCAAATAACTGCCTTGACAGAGGATGGAAACAGGTATCAGAAACAGGCCACCTATTAGAGCACAGAGGCCCCCGACGTGTGAGTGAAGCTGCATCTTGGATGACAGCCCAGCTGAGTTTTCCAATGATTCCAGCCCCAGTCAGCCTCAAACTGCAACTCAGAGAGATCCCTGATGAGACGTTTCCAGCTGAACCCACTTAACCCAGAACCATGAGAGATAATAAATTGTTTTAAGACACAAAGTTTGGGAGTAGTTTGTCACACAGCAACCAATAACCAGGACTCATCACTTCCTCCGGGAAGCATTCTCTGGTGTCCCAGACTAGGTCAACGTCCTTGTTTAGGTTTGCATGGCACCTGTACTTCTGTAAGACTCACAGTTTCAATGTCAACATCCCCTCAGGCAGCAACTGTCTATTTTGCTCACCCTTGGATCCCCAGAACACAACTGCAGCTCAATAAATATTTGTTAAATAAATGAATGAATTTTTTTTGAGTGGCTATCTTTAGAATCATTTGACAATGTTTTCCTTTTCTCCTTTGTTGTCAGTACCTCTGACTTACAGCCCTCACACTACATCATGATTACCTCTAGCAATAAACAATAAGGATGGCTGCTGCCTTAACAACAGCCCCCCATTACTCCTTAGTGTAATAAATGAATTAACACACCAGTGTAAGAAATCCAGCTTTTGCCTGTATTCACACAGTACAAATTAAATAGCTAAAAAGAGTTACTGAAAGTGGCAGTGATTTATTCATTCCTGGATGTTTTCTGAAGCAGCTGTGTTCCAGGCATTGGTGATTCAACAGTGAACAAAACAGATAAAACCCCTGCCCTTGTGGAACTTAGGTTCTGTGCGCTTGTGGCACCTCCCATATGTGACACAGCTCTGAAGCTCTGTCCTGCCTCACTTGTTAAGGAGTGGTCAGAGGTGAAGAGCCCTCCACACCCTGCACAGATCCCACCCTCCCCGTCCACACCCCAGCCCTCTAGGAGTCTTTCCTGAAGAAGCAATGCCTTTGGTCTCTCCCTTCCCTGAAGTTTGAACAACTCAAACTTCGTAAACTGTCTTTTCCACCTCAATTAGACTGTAAGGGCAAGTTCCCTACCCATGTCCGAGCTCCCCCACCAAGCCAGCAAGGTCTTCCTCCGCTAAAGTGGCCTCCACATCACTTCTCTGAACCCTTCAGGCCCTCCCCAACAGAACAAGAGTCAGGAAATATTTTCTGTAAAGAGCCAGATAACAGTGTGGGCTCTGTGGGCCACACAGTCACGTCAACTATTCAACTCCACGGCTGTAGCAGGGGAAGCAGCCACGGGCGGACAGCACAGAAATGAATGGGCATGCCTGTGTTCTGATGAAACTTTATTTACAAAACATGCAGGTAAACAAAATGTGCTATATCCATACAATGGAATAGTATTCAGCCTTAAAAAGAAAGGAAATCCTGTCATGTGCCACAATGTGAATGAGGACATCATGCTAAGTAAAATAAGCCAGTAACAAAAAGACAAATACTGCATGATTCAATATACATGAGGTATCTAAAGTAGTCTTATTCATAGAAACAGAGAGTAGAATGGTGGTTATGGGGGGGGGGGGGGTTTAATGGGTCTAGAGTTCAGATTTTCAAGATAAAAATGTTCTGGAGATCTGTTTCACAGCAATGTGAATATATTTAACATTACTGGGATTAAAATGATTAAAATGGTAAATTTTTAATTTTTTTTTACCCCAACTTAAAAAAGAAAACACAATCGCAAGGTCAGATTTTCCGCTGGGCTGCAGTGTGCCCGTTCTCGGCCTAGAGGACGAAGAGGCAGAGGTCAACAGTGACAACTTTGGGGCTCAGGAGGAAGGAAAAATTACCATCAAGGGGACTTCGGTAAATTACTTTAACTTTCTAATCTCAGTTTTCTCATTTGCAAAATCAGCAAATTAATAATACCCTTCTCCTAGGATAGTTGAGAGAATTAAATAAAACAACACATGGCATGGTTCCTGGCACCTGACCCGTGAACAAGCCTAAAAAGCCCCTCCCTGTCTGATCAGCACGGCCATCTTTCCCCTAGGACCTCACACTCTGCGCTCCACCGTCCCTTCTGTCTGGCCACCCTGGCCTCCCTGCTGGTCCCCAAACTTGCAGACACATCTCACCTCAAGGTCTTCGCACTGGCTGCTCCCTCAGATATCAACACGGCCACCTCTTTCTTTACATGATTGTTCCTGCCGCCTTTTCAACGGGGCCTCCCCTGACCACCCCATTTAAAATTGTAACACACAACTCTGCCCTGGATTTGATTCCCTTTACTCTGCTTTTTAAAAATAAACTTTTAATTTTAGAACAGTTTTAGATTTATAGAACTAATGCAAAGATAGTACAGTGCGTTTCCATAAACCCCACACCCAGCTTCCTCCATGAAACATCTTACATTAGTATGGTACATTCATTTGCCACAATTAATGAACCAGTATTGAACATTACTGTTAACTAAAGTCCATGCTTTGTTGTGATTTCTGTCATTTTCTCCTAATATCTTTTTCTGTTCTAGGACCTCATCCACAATACATGACATTTAGTTGTCATGTCTATTTTGCTCCTCTTGGCTGTGACTGTCTCATCCTTGTTTTCAATGACCTAGACAGTTTTGATGAATACCGGTCGGGTGTTATATGGATTGTCCCTCAGTGGGGATTTGTTTGATGTTTTTCTCATGATTAGACTCAGGGTATATGTTTTGAGAGGTAAAACCATTTCCATTATATCATTTCAAGGATAGATACCGCAGACATGACTTTTCTACGATTGTTCATGTTAATCACCCTTATGCCTTTACTATCCTCTAACATATCACTTAATTTATTATTTAATGTTTAGTGTTTCTCGCTTCCAACTACAATGTAAACTCCTCGAGGGCAGGCATTTATGTTTGTTTTGTTCACTAAAGTATCCCAAGTGCGTAGAATAGAGCCCGAATGAACGCACTGTTATTCCTCGGCATGACGTTCATGGCCCATGGCCCTTCGTGGCCTAGCCACCTCTCCAGCTGGTTGCTCCTGACCTACACTCAGCTCGGGTTTCACTCCTCCGAGCTCCGGTCCGAGCCGGGAGCCTTCGGCATTGCGCAGACTCTCCGGGCACCTGGGTTTGCCACACCACATCGGCCCAGCGGCAACCCCTCTGTGTCCCCTGCACTCTGCGCCACTCCACAGCAGGCACGATGCCTTCGTACCCTCCTAATTAACCTCTCCGTCTCCATTCTTTGGGGCTCCATTTGCCAACCTTACTCGATTTGGAACTTCATCTTTCCATATTTGTCAGTATTTTGTTATATTACATTAGCATGCACAGCCCTCGAATTCACTACAAGGTCTAATGCCAACTGAATCTCTGAGTAAACACCTCTTACTAGTTTGTCTCACTTGGTTTTGAAATTAATTAATTAAAAAATAATAACAACATATTCAGACAAGGCAAAATATGAAGCGTACCTTCCTCTGACAAAGTGAACTGAGTAAAACCAGTGTGTGGGTGCAGTATGGTTTGCCTCAGCACGAAACTGGAAGTCAGGAGCTAATTAGAAAGAACTGTGTTCTAAATGTAGCCCAAGCACACACAGGCTGGGTGGCCTCAGGCAGACCATTTAACCTCTGGGTGCCTCACTCAGCTACCTGTATTCAATAAAGCTGCTAATATCAAACTGCTTCGCCTGTGGATCATTCACTAGGTAGTTGGCCCAACACGCCCTTAAAAATGTAAACTGATGTATAATTATGAAGCGCACCACTGGACTTCACCCATTCAACAACCACGTGCCTCTGGTCTCTCCCTCCCTGGGAAGATTCGTCAGCTCAACAAAGACAAAGTCAGCAACCAACTATTTATGACACACTCGTTTCAGCCAAACTCAATAATCTAAAGACATTTTATCTTATTTTTG